ATTATCAGTTTTGAGTGAAAAATATGAAACCAGTACTTTTTTATCTTGACCAATAATGGAAAATGTATAAGTTATGAAAGATTTGTAATGCTTGCCTCATAATGTCACATGAGACCTACTGCGCACCCCGTGCGCCGAATTTGGATTTGGCGGTTCGAGTTGACCAATGAGGAATTAGTCTTACGCGTTTCGAGATATTTCGATTCGGGTGAACTTCATTTTCATGTTTCTACTTTCATAATTAGGAGATCAGAATGCCCACGTCATAATATAGACATTCTTTCAACTGAGATTAACCGGTAATTTCTGATTAATCTCAAAAAGTCCTCATAAATATAAGTCCCTTATTTTTTAATTTCTTATCACCACAAGTAAACTAGGATAAGTCCATTTTTATGAGGCGAGTTTTAGTGGATATCTTGGAAGCAAAAAAGATTCGAAATGCCGGAGAAGTTGAATGAATTTCTAGTTCATGAGTATGAAAAATGGCAATGACCTTTAGTTCATCACGAACCTGGAATCCATTTTTTCCAGCTGTATACGTGACAGTCCTTCGCACCCCATTAGGATCCACATAAGAATAAGATCCTTTTCGATCCCCATTAGCATCACTCTCCTCCTTGAACTCTACCCCATCTTCCTGCTTGTATGAGGCTCCAAAGGTCCCATCCCCGGACAAATATCTCATGTCCGAGAGAATTGCTGCATTTTGAGAGTGTTGGGCTACTGATACAGCAACCAGATACAATGCAATCTGAAATACAAATTGAGCACTGGATGTACTTGGCGAATTTCGGCCCTTTAATTGCCTCAGACTGAAATAATTTTTTTTTAATCTATCGAAAATTTCGCTTGCTAATTTCACCTCCAAAGCGTGTGAATACCTAAATTTGTTAATTAAAAAAATATTGACATTTCCATATTTCTGCAATTTTTGTGTCGAGCTAACGAGTGGTTTTAAGAATATATAATTCATAGACGTATGTTGGGGGTTCAATTCCTTTTCAATT